AACCTACCCGTGCTGCCCTTCATGGCTTCCCGCAGCTCCCGCTTCTCCTTGCGCAGCAGCATCAGCTCGCTGCGGATCGATGCTTTCTCCTTCTCCAGCTTCTCCTTCTCCGTCAGGAAGCGCCTGGCGTCCTCCTCGGCGCGGTTCTTGCCGTACCTGTACTGGTTGGCACCTGCAGGCAGGGCCAGAGCCCATCAGGGGCTGCCCCCACAGCACCAGGGTCCAGCTGAGCCCACAAAGCACCCCTGGCTGTGGGTCCCTCTGCACTGGCCAGGACCCTGGAGGGGTTTGTGGCCCGTGGACTCACTGGACGCGTGTCTCTTCACTTTGACCTGCGGGTCCACCCGCCGCGATTTCTCGCTGCAGGACGAGGCGTGGCGCTTCACCTGAGCCGCGCCCGGCCGTGTTGGCTCCTCCTCCGCCTGCAGGGACAGGGACAGGGACAGGAAGGACAGTGAGCTGAGACACCCCGGGGCCATCCTGGCCTGGCCACGGCTCCCTGGGCCGCTGTGGTGGCAGAGGATGAGCCGTGCTCACCTGAACCTTCTCGTAGGGGACATCATCGTACACCACGCGGGACGAGTCCGGCCGCTGATCCTGGCAGGAGCTGGCCCACCTGCAGAAGGACAGATGGGGTTTTTCTTTCCAGGACCCTCTTGTCAGCCCCTCAGGGAGCCCTTCCAACTTAGAGGGATTCCTGAATTGCTCCCCCAGCTTCACTCACAGCCCTACCCCACTACTCCCTTCATCAGCATCGATCAAACACTTCCAGCTTTGCATCCTGCCTGAGGGAACAGCCCCAGGGATGCGACTGTCCCTGAGATCACGGCCACAAAGCACAGCCTGGCCTGTGCCCCTTCCAGARAGTCCCCAGGGCCATCACCATGCCAGCCCAGCAGCCAGCCCCTGGCACAGCAGGGCACAGCCTTACAGGTACGAGTGTCTCACGGCCGTCACGATGTTGGCAATGGTCTCCACATCCACATAGTCATAGTGCAAAGCCTCTGGGGCRGTCTTGGAGCCCGTCTCCACCAAGAGGAGCCCCAGCCAGCGGCCCARATCTTCAGAACAGCTTGCCTGGAGGAGAGAGGCAGGGTTGGGGTGTGTGCCCAGCTCCCAGCCCCTCGTCCTCACCACCTCCCGATGCAAAGTCCTGCTGTGCACAAAGCTCCCACACAGCTGCTCCCAGCTCACCCCATTGCTGCCCTGAGCTTTCCAGGGCAGGGAAGGGCAAGGCACTGCTTGCCTGGGTGCTGATCATCCCAAGGAACGCTCCCCCAGCCTGCCCCGCTCACCTCCAGCGCCGTCACCTCCTGCCCGTGGCGCAGGATGCGGAAGGCGAAGGGGTGTTTGGGGCCCAGGCCGGGCACCACCTCGCAGCCCCGCAGCACGATGGCGTTCACGTGTGTCCGCAGGTCCGTGCGGTCCTTGTGGAAGTACAGCGTGTTGCCCTTGAGGCGGCACCAGCGCTCCTTCCAGCACTGGTTCACCAG